GGTGGGGGAATTCCGGAGGCCCCGTCATTAATTACAGATAATAAGAAAGCACTGCTCTGGAGCCGACGGCGACGCGAGTACGGACGCGACGACGACCCCGTATTTTATTGACAAATGATCAATGGATAACCGCGGCAGACGCGGATAACGAGCCACCCTATCGTCACGTCTTCCCCACCCCCGCGGTCGGACTCGCATCCCTGTCAACGCTGTGCAAGAACAGATATCCCTCCCCGAAGCGCTCCGACCATGTTTCACCCAAGTCTTACCCTCACGGCAATATAGTCAAACTCAGAGTCAATGGCGCAAGTAAAACAATCGATTCTTGCATCACCTGAAATCGATATTTTTAATGGATTTACATGGAGGTAAAACAGTGTTGCCAACTTGAAAAATCACCTTTGCTCCAAGGCCCCACAACCCTACAACAGTTGGACTGCATTTTGTAATATGGAGCTATAAATTCTAAATCATCTGAAAAAACACGTATGTGCATCGGGAAACTAATGGCACACACGTTGTTTTTAAAACCAGGCCGGAATTTGTAGGTCCTAATTGCAAAATGCAGTCCAATTCGTACACTTAAAAGATAGGTTTTTTTTTTATCAAGAAGAAGAAATAAAATATCTCTAGGAACATCGTCTCCCGGAAGACGGAATGTAACTCCATTCCAAGGTTGTCAAATTGACTCATACAATTACTATGTTTTATAGAGATGTATCTGAGTAGTTTTGATCCAAAATTGTTCTGATATTTGCATGACATCCGAGAAATAATTATAGAAATTTTCAGTTAGAAATGTTCAAGATTCTCCTGGTTAATATGCAATTTGCGAGGAGAAATTCGGTAACATTGAAATGTAGTTACGTCCTTTCGTGCGGGAAACGACAAATAAAATGTTTTACAGACGAGAGGGTGTGTAGCCGGAAAAAACCTTTTTTGCTTGAAGGAGGGGGAGGGAGAGAAGGAGAGAGAGATGCAGAACACTCTATTTTTGGATTCTTTAATAAAATTGCAAGGACATAAATTTGCCATCCTGATCCTCCTTTGTCCACACATTTCAAGAAAAGGTGGAGTAGTCGACATCTACCGCTATGTCCATCCAAATATCATGCTTCCCATGATGTTTTTAAGCTTACAAGCTAATGACCCCACTTTATCCATTTCTCTTCAAGTTAAATCCCCTGTATGAAGAATATTCGGTGAAAAGTTTAGGCAATACTACATTGCAATTGAAACTACTTGTCATCATTCATTTGCGTAAGAAAATTACCGAAATTTTCTCCAACTTTTCCTGAAGTTTAAAATCCTCTGCATAAATATTATTCTGTGAAAATTCCAAGCACCTGCCATTCTTCATATTGCAAGTAAATTACCGGACTTTTCTGAAACTTTTTTGTCAAGTTTTAAATCCTCCGTTTGACAAATATTCTGTGAAAATCCCAAGCAACGAGTTTGACTAGTTTCTGTTCAAAAAACAAAACAGTAGGGGCAAATATTTTGAAACATAGCAATCTAGATACGTGGCTCCAGAGTTCAGCCATCGATTTAATGGACTGCATCTTTACGAAAGGGAGTCACTGACATTGCAATTTCACTAAAACCGTTTAATTTATGAACGGTTGGTTATGCCACAGTTAGAAAGCAAACCCAAGAATCTAAACGAATTAACATCCAGCATAAAAAAAAATAATAAATAACAGAGAAAGTTATCTCGTGCATTTTAAGTATTCATTGATCTACTTCCAATCAATTTTAAGTATCTGTTGTAAACGTAGGAATTGCACACTCTCAGCAGTGTTGCAATGTCAGTAGTTTCTCAATGCAAAATTTGGTTTCATTTTCAATTTTACTCCTTCGGTAGGTAAGTAAAAAAAAACCAAGCATAAGAGACAACAATGAGAATCATGCTGATGACGTCTCCAGAGATACGTTATCCGTATCAACGATGTGACTTTTCAAATATACGACACACTTCAGTTGTGGCATTCCAAAATGTTTCCTCCGACTTTACTATCGAGAAGGTAAACCAGGACAATTGACATTCTTGTGCAAAATTTTACAGGAAATCCGGTAGTAGGTACGAAAATATAAACTACGCAGTTTTTTCCAGTGACAACGATCAGATATCCTCTAAAAAATTGAAATTCAAAAAGAAATCTGCTACGTGATAAACCGAGGTATAGGTAAACGGTACACTATCGACAAACCAATGCACTCTTTTCCAAAGAATTGATATGCATGAAATACTTAAATGAGCTCATCGGTTCTTGAAATAACTTTATTCGTGCCTTCAGGTTGAGATTTTGTGATTTTCTATGTTGTGAAAACTCAGAGAAAGATTTTTGGGACTTAGATTCAAACTTCTTCGCTTAAATGAGCTCAGAAACGCGATCATGAATTCTAGTGGACACATCTCAGGTGTGAAAATCAGAATTACATGTAAGGCACCTAGATCTGAGATGCCAAAACGCTTCAAAACAAGCCCATAGAAACGAAGTCGTCTGCTTTCTGTTACGATAACAACATACTTGATTCAACTCAAAGCAATTTTAAGGTTAGGTCACGAAACAGGGACCATGCATTGATGCATTGATATACATTAAAACCAGTCGTTTCTCCTACCTTGAGAACGGAGCTGTCCTCTCCTCCTCGCAAGACTGATCAACAACGAAGCGTCGCGAATTCGGACGCACAGGAGCACTTTAAAAATCGCGAAATGGGAACACACCGAATGAAAACTTCGATCGGGAACCTACGATAGGACGGGCTCGGCTTGCGAAAGACACAAGACTGCACTCGGGGAGCGCGGAGCCACTCGCGGCCCGTAACCCCCTCCCTCCCGCCCCTGGGGGCGTATCGACTTTTCCACCCCTCGCCAGAGCGAGGCACCGCGCAGCCATGACTCACGCCCGCAGGCCGCCAACTTCGGGCCCGTTGCACCCGCCGCGCCGCGGTCAGCAGTGGGTTACCATGGAGATGAGGACGCTGCACTACCCTCCGAACTGTAGGCAGGGTAGTTTACTAACCTTCACGGCCAGACATGAGGTTCTCGCTTCGTGGATCCGCGGGAATCTACCCCTTCGCGTATGAGACGTGACTAACCTCGCGAGTCAAGTTTTCAACGTGTTGGGTTGAAAAAGGAAAATTGGATGAGTTATTGAAATTATGAGAATAAGGGATTTCTGGTTATAATTTTTTTCAAAAAATACGACTGCGGTTAACAAGGCTAGATGAGAACACATTCACCGAGACGTTTCGGCTAGAGACATTACAGCACTCTTCAGTTGGATAAAATAACAAAATTAAAAAAATTGAATTCAAAACTTTGTTAGTACCAGGTTGTACCTTCCTAAACGAGACGTATGAAAATATTATCAAACCAGGCCAAAGCTATGGGTCGTCTTGACTGGAAAGGGTGCACTCTAGAACTGAGTTTTAAAAATGTTTAAATTTTTTTATAAATTTTATCCAACTGAAGAAAGGCTGTGGTGTTTCCAGCCGAAACATTTTGGTGAATGTTATCTTATGTGGCCTTTTACCCGCAGTTCTATTTTTCCAGAATGTATGTCTCATCACGGGTTGCTTGTTTTCAACACATTTCTGGTTATGAGGCATCCGAAAAGATCAGTGCGCACGTTTCTCGTCGTAGGAAATGCAAGGATTGGGTTGGTTGCGCTGGTCTTAGAATGGTGTTTTGGTGGTTCAAACTCGTGGTAGATTAGCACAAAATGAAAATAGCTGTACAATCCCCAAGTTCTTAAGTTCAATATTGAAGGTCATATTGCATGCCAGCAAGTTGGGAACACAGTTTCTTTCTCCATTTAAATGTATGTTAAAAAATCGATTCTAAGTGAGGCAGCCTGTCTCGCCTAAAATCGATAGATTCAAATGATTTAAATGGAGTATTGGCAGTGTTGCTGACTTGCTGACATCGCCACCATGATAAGGCGACTCTGATGTGCGATATCCTGAAGTTAGTATGTCACGTTGTCTTACTGAAGAGCAATTCTCAAAATGCTCGTTTAGTTTTTTTTTTTTTTTTTTTTTTTTTTTTTTTTTTTTTTTTTTTTTTTTTTTTTTTTTTTTTTTCTCTCTTCACTGGCTCTTAAAGGGGTAAAACAAAAGACCCTATGGAGGAGAAGAGATGGTGCGACGATATAAAGACGATTATGCCGTCATTTCATTTCACCTGATATGATTTCACCACAATGACTTCCGTAACACCGTGTACACGCCGACAGGCGCAGTGTAGGCGATTTGCACGTCGAACGGTGTAGCGTTGGAAGTATCTCTTCGATGTTGAAGGCGCTACGCACAGCTGCGCGCGCGGGCGAACAGACAGCGCGGCGAACAATAATTCAGATTCGCGGCGTCCTATACGACCGTGAAATTATTAGAAGTGCGTTATTTTTGCTGAAAACTCTACAAGTACTTCGACTTTGATACCGACGTATAAATTCCTGCTGGCACATCGATTTTTCTGGAAAGTATTGCAGCTCGACTAATGTTTTCTTGATTTTACCAACTTAAATTGCGGTTATATTAAACTCACAAATTGGAGACCTGTCATTTTAGTAAAGTTCAGGATAATATTTTGCTAAATTGAAGATATGACAATAGCGACGTCTTGTTGAGTGATATCATTAAAACACATCACTAGATATTAGATCATATCAAAGAAGGGAAAAATTGTTAGGTACTTACCAGCAGAAGGTTATCCAATTGCCCGACGCCAGGCTGAAAGCACTCACAACGCTGTCACTGAAATTTAACTGGAAAACTTGGCTATTAGGAGATTAAAATAGTATTATTATAGGAGGAGAACACAGCTTCACTATGTGAAGTGAACAAGATGTGTTAATTTTCTGTGCTGATTCTAATTCTGCCCATGTTAGGTGTATCCCGAACCGGTGTTTAACACAGTAATTAGATAAAATAATAAATGTTAACTATATTTTCTGAAGCATATTACATTAAACAGAAATATTATTTTAGATATAATATAATATAATGCAATGCATGTTCGATCAATTATTTTTGTGAAACTCGGGATCAAGGGGAGGTACTTTTTGATGGGGAACTCGAGTTTTTGGTCAATTTTTCAAAATGCGAAAACCCAAGATGGCGGAAGAGGCCTAAAATGCTATCTCGGTTCCTGTTCGATTGATTTTTGTGAGATTTAGTGTCAGGGGGTACTTTTTGACGGAAAAGTCGAATATATTGTGGTCATCTAAAAATTCAATCTAACTTTTCTCACCCGTTCAAAAGAGGGCGTTCGCAGATTTCAAAAATGTCTCGGTTGATTTCCTTTTAAAAAATAAAACATAATCGGAGATTTCCAGCTGCAATACAGGTACTTTAGCCATGGGCATGTTTCATTTGCGGTACGTGTACTAAGCTCTAGGCAAACAATAAAAACTACACAAATCCTTGCGAAAACATTTATTTTCAGATTAAGTCAAAGATAAAATATCAGCCTTAAAGTACGGAAAAATGAGTTTTTGAGAAAAAAAAGAGGAAAAAATCTCAAAACTCAGATAGGTATCACAATAAACCAGATCCTCAAAGATAAGCCGTGGAAACGTATGATGAAACAGCGCAAGCATTCTTACCCCTGACAAGCTTGATGTAGCCCTGCAAAAAAAATAAAAATAAGTAGGTAAGTTTTACAACAAAAAGTTTGGTTTTTACAAGGATTTAAGATTTGTGACTGTAAGTGGACTAGAGTGCAGGGAGTTTCAGTAATTACGTCACTTTTTTACACATTTTTAGATGAGATAGAGCCATGAGTGGACCTAGGGGGTAGGAGGCTCCTCCCCCCCCCCCCCACGTTCTCAGCCACATTCAAGATATTTGAGGGCTACTTCTGCATGGGAACGTGGCAATGTCTCTCTTCTTATAGAGTCCCTTTATACCCAGAGTTAAGACAACTCGATTATCAGCTGACTGGCAGCCGGCCTTGGCTGGCCATGGAGGCCGAAACGAGTGCACCCAAACGAACGATATTGAGGGATAAGGATCAGGAATCCTGCGATGTCTGTCACACAACAACAACATCAACAAATTGATCAATTAAAACGAAGATTAGATTGGTTTGTGAATAATTTCTTAATCTATTTTCATTTTAGACCGATGGAAATAAAAATTTACTCTTGATAAACCACAATCAGGTAATATTTTCATTATTCTTGTTCACATTCGAGGTACCGCCATCTTGGTGCACTCGTTTCGGCCTCCATGAGCGAGAACCAATCAGAATTGGATTTTTTTTTAGGCCACTTTCAGCCCAACCAAAAGTGAGTTGTCTTAACTCTGGGTATAAAGGGACTCTATCTTCTTATTAATCGTGATTCAGTCAATTTTTCGGATACAACAGCTCAAAATAGCTACGAAGACGACTCAACTTTTTAACATTTTTCCGAGGAAGCCATCCGGACCCTCATTCGGAGCTGAGATAGTACCATAGATCTCTGTTGGTGGGGTTCTTTTATTGTTAGTGCCCCCAGACCCCCTCTAGGAGCTGCTCTTCTACACCTCACCCTGCGAAAATTTCCTGGCTTCGCTCACGAGTAAACATTATTTGGTTTCTGTGCATATACTTTTATTTCTTAAATACTTATCCTCATATCTCGCTGCATGCGATTGCAGTTTTGCTGAAAATACATCAGTTCTGATTTCGATTGTGTAGTGGTTGAATTTAGTCAACAAAGATTTTTCAAAACGGTCTAAAAATGCATATTGTTTCAAATTCATCATCAATGGTTGTGAATTTCAAATTTTCATTGGATGTCCACCTTTGACTCGAAAATAAGCTTGGTCCGTTCATAGCAATGGCGAGTTTACAATTTGGCAACACTGTTTTTCCTTAATTTATATGTGGTAAAAATGTTGATTTAGGTGAGGTAAAAGAATCGATTGTTTTGCAGACATTAAAATTGAGGCAAAACAGTATTGCCGAGTTTCAAGAATCGCCACTGCTTTATCGAGCGATTATTTAGTCTCATAGACTTTAACGCCCGACAGCAAACACAACATCTAACTGAACATGCAACCCTTGCGTCTAGCCACTACTGTTTTCTGTGCCGTGCCTGGGTACCAAATACCAATCCAATAGAGTAATTTATGCGACTGCATCTTTATTATTGAAAAAACTCAAAGGATTTTCCCCCTTTTTAATCGGGGCTCATAGGTATCCTATAAATATCAATTGACTATATGGACTGAACTTGTGATCTTCAAGCAAGTCCAATAAATTCAAAATTTCGGAAGTGTCGAGATGAAGCTAAAGAATTACACAATTTGAGAGTCCTGTTGTTAGCCTAGACAATATGAATCGTAAGTATATAGCCACTGCGCGTGGGTGTGGTGTCCTATTGGACAAATCGTTGAAAATTTGCTGGTCACATACCGTGTGGACGAAAAATAAGCTTGTCGAGACTTTTTTAGTCATTACTCACCTTATCTCCCCACGAATCGCCCCAACTGTTTTTGATGACCCAGTAGGGAAGACCTGCAACAATTATAAAATGTATTAAACATTGCAGTGCATTAATTATTAGGTAATATCAAACATACTTAAACATGGAAAAATCGATAACATGTTACTCTCTCTGATGAGATGGAGACCCATTTGTCCTAATTCATCACTGCTGCAGAGACGTCAAACATGAACTCATCTTTAAACATTTTTCATTTCCCTTTTTAAAACAACTTTGTCTTTCAATTAAATTTATTATTTCCTTGTCCTCCCTTTTAATTTGTTGTACCACCTACTCTGTTTCGGTCTCTATTATAAGGTGTTAATAACCCAGTTACATTGAAGCACCCTTAAATAAATGTATCAAACAACAACAACATACATACGTACATACATGCATGTATATTCTTGTTATGTACGTTCATCTGATCTACGACCCGTGATCGATGCTCTTCACAAGGTTCTGGGTCCGACATCATGGGAAAATGCAGTAGTGTATTTTCAGCGGAAAATACGTACTAAAAAGCTATGAACACGATTCAAGAGGTAATTGCGAATGAAGTAATCGTTGTTATACATTTTTAGCTGTTCTAAAAATTTTATTTTCTTCATTTTGAAGATAATCAGTCAGTAAAAGGAGAATAATTATTGATCGAGAAGTTTTTCTTGGTATTAAATTCAAGAGATACTCGATAAAGTATTATTCTGATAGGTAATGTAATTTCTTACTTTTCTCCACTCCGTAGCCGACAATCGTTACTCCGTGATTGACATCTTGTTTGTTTGTTGAGCACTGGTTTCTATCGGGGTTGAAAATTCCTTTTACGTAAAACTGGAAAAAAAAATGTTGTTGAGTCTTAGTGGCATAATAACATGCTATAATTGAAAAGAATGATAAAGAAAGGAGGCTTCCTCGTCAAGAAGAGCCCAGGGGACCATTAAACACCCTTAAGAAGAAGTATAGGTTTTCTCCCGCTCTAAAGGGATGTTCGAGAGCGTGTCTCGGAAAATGTTGAAAAACAGAGTTGTCCCAGGACCAATTTCGGGCTGCTTTTCCCAAGAATTCAATCGAATTGAATTTTCAAAGGTGAGGAATATGTCACACATATTTGGGAAAATATCTCATAATTCTCAGTAGGTGCCAAGTAGATTTCGGGGGGGGGGGGCGGCATACTAGTTCCATTCATACTAACCACATCAGACGTTGCCTAATTGCCTCTTACTCCTCTACTAGAAAACAAGGCAAAATTAAGCCTTGATATTTTTAGAGTATACATTGTTTGTATCTAAGAGATAAGTTCCGAAACGTGGCATAACCTATTTTTTCTGAAAAAATAAAGCATAGGCGGAAATTAAGCAGTGTGAGCTACAGTTACGCTAAATCTGCGTACATTCATCCAATCGTGACTAAGATAAGGCATATCGACGGTGAAACTACCAAACCACGTATCTCGGTTTGCGACGTCGCAGACTTCCTGTCATACTTTATTTTTTAAATGAAAAACTACTTAACGTCCAGTCTTGAAAATTTCAGTGATTTTTTCTCTTTGTGCGGAGAAAATTCTGTGAAAATTTCAAGGAATGATATTGATTTGGTCTACTTTAAAAAAATAAAATGCGAGCGTAGATTTTTAAACACCGCAATCGAGATACGTGGTTTGGTAGTTTCACCGTCGATATACAGTCTCGAGAGCTCCAAGTGCAGATTCAATACCAGGACATTTAAATGGACCCTAGACCCTTGATTTGTTTTTTAACCCTTTTTCAGTTTGAATTAGGACAGGGTTCGTGTTTGAGATGTCGCACCTGGAAGTTGGCGGATGCGACGACGGCAACGGAGAGAGGACCATTCTTGATGAGGGCCCTGGCAATTTTCTTCTCGTTGGCGGGGACGCCCCTGGTTCCGGAGACCTTGACAGCGGCCATGCTCTTCTTGAAGCGGCATTGCCCTTCCTGTGCCGTGTATGGGTAGTCCTTGGATTTGGCCACTCCGCCTAGTCGCACAAGCTCCTTCACCGCATCTTCCATCCAGCCTCCCATGCAGCCGAGATCTACTTTGTCGCAGTCCAACAGCTCTGCGAGTAAATGATTCGATTAAGTCGTGCATTCTCGGAAAATTTACATCACAGTAGTAGATTATTGACTGATTTTCAAATATGTGATGCTAGGGATAGGACATCAAGACTGCACTGCGTGATGCTTGAATCGATAGTTAGTATCAATGCTTTACATTGAACATGAAAATTCGACATGAAATTGCAATTCTTCATTCAAGTTGTGTCAGAAAATGTCTATTTCATGGCGGAAGGGCGAACAGAGCATTAAATTAGACGTTCTCAAACAAACTCGGAAAAAATTAAACTGCTGATTTAACAATTCAATCGCTAAAAAAAGTGACTGCAATGTTTCAATGTAGATTTTACAACAAAAAATGATACTTTCATCACCCCCATTAGTGGTTAATGTAGCATTTTTCTTTTTGTTGTGAAATCGACGTTGAAATATTTTAGTCACTTTTTTTAGCAATTAATTGAATTGTTAAACCAGCAATTTAATTTTTTTCAGTGAACTCTTTTCTACACTACGAATACAATTTTGAAGTAAGGCGAAAATTTCTCCAAACCTCAGGAAATTGAAGAGTCAAGTGTCGACCCGTTTTAGAAAGGAGAGTCATAATCGCAAAAAATATATAAGGTACGCAAATATAATTATAATACTTGAATTATCTCTGCACTTGTAAAATTTCCATCGGATAAGAGATTGAGAGGGTATCGATGATAAACGCCCTTAATAGCACATAAAACTCAACAATATCGTTTCAATTTATCCACTACGCATCACTTTATTTTCTCAATCGACTATTTTTTTTTTTTTTAAACTTTATATGAGACGATGCAACAATATTGATAAAAATGGGAGATATATGTCAGGCCAATATCACTTGCCTTAGAACCTACTTAAAATACTAATCTCAGTGCTTCAAACATTGAGATCAGTGCATGGAGACGCTGCGTTCAATGTTGCATGTATTTTCCAAAATTTAGTGCAATTTATCTAGCACCTGCAATTTTTATCATAGGAGGTAGACACTGGAGAACTAGAGAGTAAAAGGAATAGCATCGCACTGTGATGCAAAATTGAATGGTAGGTATATATTAATAGTATAGGTATTTCCCATCGAAAAATACACTCGAAAATATAAATATCGAATAGTCAGTCGTCGTATATTTACCTTGCTCAGAGAGATCAATGAGTTGCTTCTTCTTTTTAGCCCAAACTCCTTCAATGTTGGAAATTGCTGAGAAGGCCCAACATGATCCGCATGCACCCTTTAGGAAAGAAAAAAATATATTCCTATTTATGTCTATGCTTTAAAGTGTTTCACTCTATATTTGACTGCAATTTTAAGCTCACTTTCAGCTAGCCCTCAAAACAGCCCCCATTTGGTCTATGCGTAGTTTTTATATTACTTTTGGAGGCTCATAAAGTAAAAAAAAATTGTTCAAAGCAACTTCATTTGCGCGACTAACAAATGGAAAATGAGACTTAAAAAAGATCGAATTTTTTCCTTAATAGTAGAGGATAACCAATTTTTGTTACCTATTGTTGTTAAATGAGTTCTAAACCTCTCCGGAATATTGGGTCAATATTTCAAGTTTCAGCTCAACTGATATAAACAATATAATCTTGCAAGGAGAGGTTTCTTTTGATTTTTCCACAGCAGGTAAACATTGAATTCAGACGTTCATGTAAGTTCGATATCTTCTTTTCTCACTTTTAAGCATACTGATACTTTTAACTGTATAAGGGAAGTTGTTGGGTATTCAACTTTAATCTTAAGTCATTTTTGTAATAATTGTCTTTTTAGCATAAGTCATCGAATGTTGTGTCGTTGCCCCCTCTTTTTCTCATCGCACTCTTTCTATAAGGAATGAATGGGCCTTTCTCTTTCTCTTTCAACTGAAATGAATAGCCTTCTGCACGCTTCCCCTGGTCTTGAATCACATGTCGCTCTCCTTCTCGCTCCTCTCTCGTGTATGTATGTGTCTATCTCTCTCTAATCTTCAACCCTCGGCTCTGCATTTCTTCTCGCTCTCACTACCTCATCCAACGTTGCTCTCTCTCTCTCTCTCCCTTCACCACCCCCGCTTGTTTTGAGGACTCCACTGCGCATGCGCAGCGCGACCTGCGCTGCACCCCTTAGAGTAAAATCAGTTGAGAGAGCCGCGTTAGTCCTCGTCAGCTCTTCGTTCTGAATCTACTTCACGCTCTTGTGACTCCGTCAAATGCGGAAAACTTTCCCGTGACGTCTATCTCTTGAGGCAACGACACAAACATCGCAGATTGTTTGTATTCCTCAAAATAAACTCAACTTCACCTGCATATCGATTGGTTCACTATCAAGTACATCTCACCTGGGAGGACCTCAGCACAGAAGGATTCGCAATACGACTTGTCGTGTTGACTTCTGGGCTGTCTCCCTGATTTTTGTTCTCTTATACGGTACGAGTGGCAGTCCGACACGATCTTCGTGTTGACACTCGTGCTGTTGAGAAATCTTACTTAGTTTCTTACTAAGTTGGTCCCTCGGTAAGCATCGAGAATTCGCTGAAGGATTCTTCTTCCTTCATTTTTTGGTCCCTCGGGCCGGATTTGAACACGGATTCTCTTCTCTCTTCATTTTTTGGTCCCTCGGGCCGGATCAATAGACCAGCAACTTTGGATAAATAACGGCGTAATTTTACTTAAATTGCGAAATCACAATGGTTTTTCTAAAATCTAACTTGGATTTTAGATTGATTTTTATCGTACCGAATCATGCTTTTCTAAAATTTAACTTGGATTTTAGAATTGCTTTTTTTAACACACCTAACCATGCTTTTCTAAAATTTGAACTTGGATTTTAGATTTGCTTGTTAACACACCTAATCATGGCCGAAAATGTGCAAACCCTACGACGGCAACGGGGTAAGGTGCAGGCATCAATAACAACCTTCACCAAAAAACTTGATAATTGGCGAGATGATGTAGAAAATCGGGATCCAGATCTCTTACAGCAAAATTTAGTATCTTTACAAAAAAGATTCGAATCATTTGACGCTATTCAGGATCAACTCGAGGAGTTGGATTCACAAGAAATCAAACAAGGAGAATCTATTCAAGATTCTTTCGACGAAGTTGTCGCGCGAGCAACGAGATACCTCCGCGAAGCTCTTCATCAAACGGAAGTAGGATCAGTCATTTCAAATCACTCATTGCCTCACTCGTCAGCTGGTGGCTCGGGACAATTTAGCTCACGGTCCTCGAGTTACGGCATTCGGCTCCCAAAGCTTAATTTGCCAAAATTCAAAGGCGAAATTTCGACTTGGCAAAATTTCTATAATTTGTTCATTGTTTCCATTCATGAATCTCCGTTGAAGGATGTGGAAAAATTTCAGTACTTACTTAGTACTTTAGATGGTGAAGCCAAAGATCTAGTCAAAGGACTAGCTATCACTGAGGCAAATTATACGGTCGCATGGGAACTGTTGTGCAGTCGCTACAATTGTAAGCGAAGGCATATTTTCCATCACTTTAATCGTTTCCTCGAATTATCAGAGCTGAAACACAGCTCCCAGCTCTCCTCATTTATCACAAAAATTAGGGAGCATACTCAGGCGCTCAAGGCGCTGGGATATGACATCGAGCAATATGATGCATTTTTGGTTGCAGTTCTTTACCGCAAATTTTCGCCGTATTACCGTCGACGTTTAGACGACTACCGTGGTAGTGACACGGACTACCCCGACGTGGATATTTTGGTTAAATTTCTGGACAAGGAGTGTCTTGCAGTAGACGACACAAGTCCAGCAGAACACGAGAAGAAAGAGCCAAGGATCAAGGCCTTGGTCACTTCGAATTCGAACCCGAAAAGCGCGCCAACGCCAGGAGGACAAGGGGGGAAGTCAACTCAGGGAGCCCGGAAATGCATTTCATGTAACGACGAGTTGCATCCCTTGTATACTTGTCCATCATTTAGAAACTTGAAAATCACAGAGAGGCGTGATCTGGTGGGGCGAGCAGGGTTTTGTTTCAACTGCCTGGGCCAAAATCATAAAAGGCAGGATTGCAAGAGTGATTCCAGATGTAGACACTGCTCTGGTCCCCACCATTCTTTAACTTGCATTACGACGAAAAATCTTGGCACCAAAGCGGACCCCCCTACCGGGAGAGAGGGTCCCGGTCCCAGTTCAGATCACGGTCCCGTCGCCCTCGTCTCAGTTGCGGACGCTCCAGATGTTCATCCCTCAGTTTTACTCGGCACGGCTTTGATTGACGTGCAGGGAGGAGACGGGCGATTTCACACTCTCAGAGCAGTTATCGACAGTGCCGCCACAACATCGTTTCTAACAAAATCTGCTGCTCAAAAACTCAAATTGAAATACGAACGCCTCAACGAACAGGTTTCTGGAATCGGGGGAGGTCACACCTCCGATGCAGTTAAGGGCCGCGCAACATGCCTCATCAAACCTCGGGGAAAAGATGAGCCAGTGTTGTCAACAGAGACAACAATCATCAAGAAGATTGTGGGTAACTTGCCCTATTCGAACTTATCGCAAAATGTAAATTCTCATTTCTCTAAACTGATGTTGGCGGATCCAGGGTTTGCTGTCAAACAAGAAATCGAATTTTTGGTCGGTGCCGATGTATTTCCGTACATTTACACCGGCGAAAAACGCTTTGGGCCACCAGGCTATCCAGTTGCCTTAGCCAGCATTTTCGGCTGGGTGATCACAGGAAGAGTCGGCCAGGAACGCACGCACGTGCGCACTGCGCTGATAGTCACGCCGTCACAAGACGCCATCTTACGGAAATTTTGGGAACTAGAAGAAGTACCCTCCGTTTCAAAAATGCATCCGGATGATATCATAGCTGAAAAGATATTCGGCGAGAAACACTACAGGTTACCAAATGGCAGATATGTAGTGCCAATTTTGTTGCGCGAAAACGCTCCCACACTTGGGGAGCCCAGGGGTCTCGCGATGAATCGATTAACTGGTATAGAGCGTAAATTAAACAAGAATCCTGAATTGAAAACAGGATATAGCGAATTTTTGGAAACCTACGAATCGTTAGGTCACATGAGCGCTGTCAACTCAACGACCGAAAAAGCTGAATATTATATTCCGCATCATTGCGTCATGCGTCCAGAGAGCACCACGAGTAAATATCGAGTAGTTTTTGATGCTTCACAAAAAACTACCTCTGGAGTTTCCTTAAATGACATAATCTATGCAGGACCTAAGCTACAAAATGATATCTTTGATATCATCACGAAAATCAGATTACATCAATATGTTTTTACGTGCGATATATCGAAAATGTATCGACAGATCTTAATTCGTCCAGAGGAACAGAAGTATCAGCGAATTATTTGGCGAAATCAAAACGGCGAAATTAAGGAATTTGTTTTGAATACGGTCACCTACGGCATCAGCTCATCGCCTTTTCTTGCATTACGTACACTGAGGCACTTGCAACCCTTTATCGATTCGGATGGAATTCTAAGGGTGGGGGGTAGGCTATGCAAAGCAAATATACCTGACTCTGCAAAAAATCCAGTTTTGATGCCGAAACATGACAAATTTGTGGACTTACTCATCTATGATAACGGCACCAATTTTGTTGGTGCGAAAACCCACCTAACTGAGATGCACAAATTTTTAACTAATAATAAAAACACAATTGATGAAGAATTAATTAAACGCAAAGTTGAGTGGAATTTCGTACCTCCGAACGCGCCTCACTTCGCTGGACTATCTGAAGCTGGAATTAAATCAGCAAAGTATCACCTCAAACGAGTCATCGGCGATCAAACTTTAACATTCGAAGAGATGACGACGATATTTTCAAAAATCGAAGCAATTATGAACTCTCGCCCCTTGTGTCAACTTTCGACGGATCCAGCCGAAGTTGACGTTCTCACTCCGGGCCACTTTTTAGTTGGTGGGCCCCTTGTTGCCGTGCCCGAATATGATTTTCTGGATGTAAAAACGAATCGACTCTCCCGTTGGCAACTTTTGCAAAAATTAACTCAACATTTTTGGAAGGTATGGTCGCAAGACTATTTGCATACCTTAATTCAACGAACAAAATGGTCCAAACACGAAGAAAACCTAAAAGTCGGTGACTTAGTAATCATTGCGGACAATGACTTGGCACCAACGCATTGGAAAAAAGGGCGCATACAGCAAGTGCACCCTGGCGCTGACAACATTGTCAGAGTTGTCACAGTGAAAACAGCAAGTGGAGTCTACAAACGACCTGCTGTTAAAATCTATCCACTTCCGTCAAATTAGACTACGACCCACCCCCACCGGAGCTTCAATGTCAAAAGACAGCCGTCGCACCCTGACGGTGAGAACTGCATTCGAAAAACCTATAACTGTCACAGGAACCCATAAACTTTTACTTCAGCACCACTCGACGTCATTGCCAAGTTGTATCGAATATCAAACTCTTAGCAAGTCCTCGGAAACCTGAAACTTCAGATTTGAAATTGACAACGCTGCCCTCCCAACGAACGCTCCCTAGAAAAAATTATACTTCTTAAATGGCAAACACATGGAAAGAACAAAGCTGCGTCCACCGAAACAGCTGATGAACTTCTGCGTTGGTCAGTCACCAAGGCCCAAGAAGAAAATTAGTGTTGCACCATCCTTTTCCGGCGACTGGTCGTGTCCTCCTCAGTCCTCAGTGCTCTACAGTTTTTTAGTAATTTTAACAGCTTAAGTGCTACATAATTTCGTTTCAAAATGCAACGACAGCAAAGTGACGAAAATGGCTGGGCGGCAGGCATGGCAGCCTGGGAAAAAGCAGTAGCCAGTGTTTTTCCGCGAAAAAGAAAAATCTCCCTCCACGAATACGTTGAGCGCAAAAGAGCGTATGAAAGGAGCATAGTCTATGAGGAGGATGTTCTTCAGCAAATGAGTACTTGGTCCGATATTGAAGACGATAATCCGCCACCGACTTGCCCAGTAAATCCAACGCGCGCTGAATCCTCGAGTACACCTACAAATACCTGGAAACTCTACCAATTAAACACCGAAAAGTCATCCAGTGTTTTCGCGAGTGCCCTAAATCCAATGATTGAACTTTTCCGAATCAATCAAATCGGATTAGTAAAAAGGATCCATCAAAATAGTGCGAAATGTAGTGCAACATGTCGGTTTCAGCCAAAGTCAACAGTAACTAGCGCCACCCAGGATTGCGTAGTGACACCGTCACGACCTGAGCAATTATTCAACTTGCAGTATAACTCTAGTGCGGCGACTTCAAGCACCAAGGAAGAACAGCACAACGGAGACACTGAAGAACACAAATCGAGAAAAAATCGGAAGGGACAAGGCAGCCGTCGACGTCAACAGGCCCAGAGAATGAAGGAATTCACCCGTGAAAAGGTCATGGAGCGAAAGGAAGCTCAGTCAAAACTGTATCTATAAATTAGTATGTATATAATCACTTTAATTCAATCGTGCTTCTCCGTTTTGGATTGAATCCTAGGAGGATTCAAGGTGGGGGGTTATGTTGGGTATTCAACTTTAATCTTAAGTCATTTTTGTAATAATTGTCTTTTTAGCATAAGTCATCGAATGTTGTGTCGTTGCCCCCTCTTTTTCTCATCGCACTCTTTCTATAAGGAATGAATGGGCCTTTCTCTTTCTCTTTCAACTGAAATGAATAGCCTTCTGCACGCTTCCCCTGGTCTTGAATCACATGTCGCTCTCCTTCTCGCTCCTCTCTCGTGTATGTATGTGTCTATCTCTCTCTAATCTTCAACCCTCGGCTCTGCATTTCTTCTCGCTCTCACTACCTCATCCAACGNGCCAACTGTAACACTCTAACTGTAGCTGATCACATCTGATTTTATCAGTCATCTGGCCAGCATGAGCACGACGAGGCTGTGGAAATCGTTTCCGTTACATTAATTTTGATACTCAAACTCTTTTACTCTGTGACGATGACTTTTACACTTACAAAACATACAAAACATTAGACTCTTCGTTGGCACCACTGACTACATTTCGCAACCCTGCAATTTGCTGGGCCCTACTATTACATTTGACAACCTTGCAAAGAGCTGGCGGGTTCAGAAAAGTATAGGGCAACGGGACCTAACCAAACCTGGACACAGCAGGCGAGAGTCACAACGGCCACTTACGCGAGTGACTCTTCTATAGGCGTTAGCTTTATTATTCTATGTCGTCAGCTCTTCGTTCTGAATCTACTTCACGCTCTTGTGACTCCGTCAAATGCGGAAAACTTTCCCGTGACGTCTATCTCTTGAGGCAACGACACAAACATCGCAGATTGTATTCCTCAAGTTTGTATTCCTCAAAATAAACTCAACTTCACCTGCATATCGATTGGTTCACTATCAAGTACATCTCACCTGGGAGGACCTCAGCACAGAAGGATTCGCAATACGACTTGTCGTGTTGACTTCTGGGCTGTCTCCCTGATTTTTGTTCTCTTATACGGTACGAGTGGCAGTCCGACACGATCTTCGTGTTGACACTCGTGCTGTTGAGAAATCTTACTTAGTTTCTTACTAAGTTGGTCCCTCGGTAAGCATCGAGAATTCGCTGAAGGATTCTTCTTCCTTCATTTTTTGGTCCCTCGGGCCGGATTTGAACACGGATTCTCTTCTCTCTTCAGAAGTTTTCTTCCAAATTTCCTTCCATGGTGGGATTACAATATTATTATAATTTTTAAATTGTAGTTTTAAATATTAAAGGGCGTTTTATATGCTCACGATTCCGCAGTTAAAGTTTTTAAACCTCTTTCAGGTTCATCCCCTTTTTTTATTTGAAGAACTTCCGGGGTGGTTCTTGCAAAAAAGATCGGTTAATCATCCAAAAAATACGCACTAAAACTTGTGTAGGCCTGTTAAAATTACTTGATTTTTGGTAAAATCAACCAAAGCGGAATTTCAGCTCTGAATAATCCCGTACCTGGTTCTTGACGGGTGTTACTGCCTTCTTTTTGCGGTAGTCAAATTGTTTCGGGATGAAGACCTTGTCGTTTGCCACGACCATGTCCTCCTCCTCGGAATCATCCTCCTCCTCAGAAGCACCCTCGAAGTCATATGAGTCGCGCAGCTCGTCCAGGTTGTCAACGAACTCGATCTCCTCGTCACCGATCGCTTCCATTCGTTCTTCATGACGAGCCCATGCACCTTCGCTCAAGCGTCCTCCCGTGGAGTTTCTAGTAAACTCCTCGTCTTTGAAACAGAAAAATGAAAGCCTAGATCAGCAACATCGAAAAAAATAATATATCGACGGTGAAAGTCGGCAATCACATAACTCGTTTGCGGTGTCTGAAAATCTCCGCCTCTACGTCATTTTTTCAAAGGAGAACAAATTGATATTATTTCTTGAAGTTTTTGCAGAATTTTCTTCGCATTGAGAAGAAAAATCATGACAGTTTTAAAGAATTGCCGTTGAGTAGTTTTCCATTTAAAAAATGAAGTATGACAGGAAGTCTGCGACGTCGCAAACCGAGTTATGTGATTGCCGACTTTCACCGTCGATATGCTGTTTTAGCACCTAGGATGTTAAAAATGTGTCTGGTGATCCGGAGTTGTTGTCCTTACTACCCTCGCAGTTAACTTTACATCCTGTGAATGCAAATTTAACTCTGTAAGCAGTTAAGGCAGCATCTTGAGATCACAAGACACATTTTTAACATCCTAGGTGCTAAAACAGCATATTATTTTTTTCGGTGAAGCACTAAAATCATAGAGTACATAGAGTCGTAATGTAAATGGGAGAGCTGGGACCATGTCCTGGACGACGAGTTCCGAGCCCGGTGTGTGGGTCACTTTTCGAGAATGTTCGATCCAAAATGGCGGTTTGGAACACGTAGTAATTCCTATCTTCTTTGTTTATATCGGATGGCCGGGTCCCCGTGTATCGCAAACAGTCGATTATGTCGAAAAAGTGACCCGGCGCCACACAGGTGTCATGGAATTCGGAACCTTGAAAATGCTTAAAAGTGGTCCCAGCTCTCCTAATCACATTATGACTCTATACCTTTACTCTATGGCTAAAATCGATTTACGGAGGGCATCTGGGAGTATGCAGACAGTGAAATTGCAAACAATATTTTCTCGTTCACGGAAAAAACGAGTTTGTGTCGGAGACGCAAGGCAGGTAGATCAACTCATCATTCTCCTCACGAAACATAAGCGGATCCAAGGAGGGGGGGTGTAGGGGGCATGCCCCCTATTTTGACCAAAAAAAGGAGGAAGAAAAAAGGAGGAAAGAAAGAGGGAAGGAACGGAGGAAAGGAGAAAGTAGGACGCTCCTGAGTTTTGGGAATTATTCATGACGAAATTGACTCATATTGCATATTCGATATGCTTTAAAATGTCGACAATTTTCTGGAAGAGGCCTCCCGGACCCCCTTTCACTCCCTCCGTGCAAAGTTCTGGGGTCGGTTATGTCACAAAACAACGTAGGTAATTATATTTTAATGTTGCTAAATTTTGTCTCGCATATTGCATTTTTTACCAGGAAAATCTAGGCATTTCTAACCGAAAATGTTACTGATTTCTTCCTCTGATCTCATCCAAAAATCGGACGAATTTATCGGACCCAAATTCCACGGGTGCAATCTTATAAGAATTAGAATTGTTCGAGTCGATTTTGCAACGTTTGAATGGAGTTCCTCCATCCGGGAAACGAGGAATGGTCGTAACCTGACTTATTTGCGTCCAACAACTGTCGGTTAAGGGCTGACGTGCAACCGGGGTACGTTGTGTCCCTAACTCCCTAAACCGGCAAGTGCGGGTCGCAATTTTTATAAAACATCAATTGACTTCTCTGTCTTGTGTCTCCAACACCTGACATTTTCCCTGTGATTTTCAATCGAGAAAGAGCCAACACCAATTCTTGAAACTTTCAGAGAATAGTTTTAATACAGAGATGCAGCGACGGAAACCGAGATCCGCATTTTTGTAATCTCTGTGCACTGGTGGCTGTGATTTTCATATTACCTTCGTTAAGAATAACGAGGAAAGTCTAATACAACGTAAGTTTCATCGAGAAGTGTAAACACTCATATCCTTATCAAGAGATACTTATGAGTTGCTTTGTCTAAGCACTTGCCCTCTGATTGTCTTAGGAAATATGTTTCATGAATGACGCGGGTAATCGAATTCAACCTATTTCTCTTCCGAAGAATCCTCTGGTCGCAAACAATAACTCGTGAATCAATGAGTAGATTTTTAACATCATTTTTTCACGATTAGAAATCCTCAAGTTGTGCTTGACATAAATGCTTGGCGTATGACCTCATTTCCGGACCTCTCGATTTTTTTCTTAATTTTCTTCCACCCAAGCACTTACATGTCAAGTCGGCGAACGGAGTGATGCCATATACTGCGGTGCCCTGCTCCTCTCGGTTGAGACGATCAATTTCCTCCAAGTTCTTCTGGAAAATTTTGAATCGCTTGATGTACTCCTCTGCACCATACTTCTTGTTGTGCTGGACGTAGAAGTCTTGGAACAGCTGCACTTTTTCATGGTCGGCCTAATAAAACACATTCAACTTGCATGATGAAAAAATGTTGATTATACGTCCTTGGGTACAGCTGTAGCTGTTTTAAGGATATCCCATAGGTCAAATGAAGGCAAGAAAAAACATGACAGAGGCAATCAAAACTCACAGTGCCTGGCAATAGGTATCATTCCCGGATGCTAGTTTTTGACAGACCGTTTTGACAGAGACTTTCAAGTTATCAATGTTAAAGAAGGTTATCTTTTAGTTTATCATCTTGCTATCTCTTCCGAGTCTTCAAGAAACTATTTCTTAGGAAAAAATACATAAATAATACTTCCAACTCGGACACGACCGGATTTTCTGATGCACCATAAAACAAATTTTCACGCTATGAACACCCTGTGTATCGATCCTTTTCCATAGGTTTAAGCGACAGATCAATCGATTCATCGCAAAACACGTCTTGCCACTGGTTGAACTCGGTGCAAGTTAATGATGTTTTTTAAGGCTATGGTGGTTTTTATTTCGCGGCAGAAAAGCAGAAAGTAGTGACCCCAATTTAGTAGTGCTGGGTATCTGATTATAAAACATTTAATAATGTAATTCTGACCGAAAAATGGATTAAATATTGGGCTGATATGATAGCATACTGTTTTGCATCGCTGTTTGATGAGGAGTTCGAAAAATGTGCAATTTGAAGATGTATTTCTAATTTTTGGGGTCTTTTCGTCGCTTATTTGACGCTAAGGTTTACATCGATTACCATGGTGCGAAACCACGTATCTCCATTTGCGACTTCCTGTCATACTTTAAATTTTCTTTGAAAACTGGTGAACGTAGTTTCTTGAAAACTACCTCGATATATCTTCTCGGCTAGAATATTCCAGGTGTATAAATTTTAAAATATATAGGTTGCTTGTTTCTCATCGAGAAATGGAATACGAGCGAGACATTGAAACACCGCAATGAGGATACGTGGTTTTGTACTTCGAGCATCGATATCTATTTACGCGTGAGCCGTGAAAAGCATGGAGTTATGTGGAAAATATGGTTTTCGAGGAAATTGCGAGGTACGTTTTTACGCAGTGGAGCGACGACTTTTCAGACTTCCCTCATCCCAATTCATTATTTCACAGACCTGTACGGCGTGCATCATCATAGTTCAGTTATGTGAAAATTCTATAAAAGAGAATAAAGATACTTCACTCACCTTGCACCTGTAAAAACATCCTGACTTAGTCTTGCCGGCAACGTTTGTAGTCTGCTCTTCCTGAAAAAGAAATTAGGAAATAAAGATTGTGCTCTAGTGGTAAAACAAGGAAGATAGAGAATAAAGAGATAAACGTTACACATTAAAATATTCGAGAATATCGACTACACAAACCCAGGTCTAGAGCGCAGAGTTTTGAGAGCGCAAAATTTCGGGACATTATTAATGACTCTATATAGGCCATAATAACATGATATGGACTAAAATAATAATACCTGCCTAAACTCCGAACTGAGTCGGTAACCCTATTTTCGGCTGAACTTGTGGCCGAAGCCCGCATCTTTTTTTAAAGGATGAACTCTCATCAGCCCCATTGAAGATAAGCTTTTTCTGTGAGGTGCTGAAGGTTAAAATTTCAAGAAACTCGCGCATCAATGGCTGATCCTCTCAAGGAGCATAACTTGATAGCAATTGCAGGGTTCAGAATGAAAACTGTTGTCATATATTGTTCATACATGACGAAGTTTGGGAGCAGTAGTACCTACTTTATTTCAGTGTTCTGACCTTATATATTCAATTTCAAGTGTACATAGGGTTGCACATAAATCCCTCGCCATAGAGTGGGCTTTGATTCTTTCCTTCCCGAGTTCTACATGACCAGTTCGCCTTCAAGATAGGTGATAGGCAACATAAGCGGCTCGAGAGCTGCAACAGTTGCTTGCGACTATTTGGCCAAGAATGGTCTTCTTCCTTGGTCATTTTTAGTGATATTTTAACACCTAACGATGGTAAAAAGATAACCACTTACTAAGTCATGGAGGTCTTCCGAATTCTTCGATCGAATGGGATCTGACACAACAAAGAGCGGTAAAACAACCAAAACACAAAATAAACACAGACGAAGCATTTTGGCGCCTCAATCCGAATAGTGCTTTCAATGTAAGAATGGATCACTAAATGTTTCGCTGTGACTATGTCAACGCGATTTATATCTGATTATCTGAGCAGAATGGTGAGTGCCTCTCAATCTAATGAGTGCTCTCTTTGCTCTTCAGATTTTGATATCTGTAATTTTTCTTTCCTCTCGTCCTATGTCGAAAGAATTCAGTTTTGCGTTGTCACTTAGGAAATTGAAGTATGCGTGATTTACTTAATGCTCAACTTTTACGAGCTATGACGGGTCTGCGTTTTTTTTTTTTTTTTTTTTTTTTTTTTTTTTTTTTTTTTTTTTTTAGTTGAGTACCTGAGGAGCCTTAAGTCAATATTCAAAAGAGTCTTATTTACATGCAGTTAGAGTTTTAAGGCGTTTTATTATCTATTTTTTCTATGACTCAGATTTGGAAACTATGTTATTAAGGTTAGGTCGGTGAAATTCGTCTTGATGATAAAACCAGGAAAATGAGAAGCCACTCATTCTGCAGTGTTTTAAAAATTGTTTCCTTTTCTACTTTATTTCTTTTAATGACTTTTTTTGTATCCGAAGGGCCCTTTATCATTATGTTTAGGAAAAATCTAGAATATCACCTACTCCAAACAAATTTTCGCTGGTCTATACACACATTGATGTTAAAAGAATAAAACCGTATTCAAGTTTTTCAGCAATATGTCCTATTATCTCTCAACTGAAGCTCCGGAGAGGATTTTTTTTTTTTTTTTTTTAAGTATCCCATAAATGAAAGGATAGGATTTCGGTGAAGTGTCGAGGTACGATTGTACTCGCAACCGGTCAATTCGCATCACTCCCCTAAAGAGGAGGTATCTACGTCGCCAAGCGTTTGAATCTCCGCATTGGGGGAAGCCCATATCGTTATCTAATAGCATTTTATCGGTTAAATCATGGTTTTGTCGAGAATGGTGCTGGCTTATTGTCATAAGGTTCATGATCAAATCACACGTTCACGAGTACGATAATCGAATTACAGACTTGTCAATCGTATCGCTTGTCGTTTCGGTTTTGGAGTCGAAACATGTAAATAAGTCTGATGGTGGTCTGATTGACGATCGAACGGCGTGTCGATTAACTCGCTATCGATCGGTTCACGAATGGATTTCAAACCTTCTCGATGCACATATCGTGATTTTTGAGTTACCTTATTAAGAAGCATGGTTGGATCCAAAGATTTCGAACCAGGGGGGTAAGATGGCCTCTCCCAAAATTGTTTCGAAATTTTAAAGGTCTAATTCACAGTTTCAGTCAAGTTCGTAGGCACGTCAGCCAACATAAGTGACTTTCAAAGGCTTGCAAAAAGAGATGAGTGTCGTAATGAACATATAAATAGTTGATATGCAATGTTTACGAAAAAAGAACCTCTCAAAAGGTATTGATTTGTATATTCAATATAATTGTGTGCGTCAGTGTAAATATCTTATGCCGAGAAGAACATTCAAACGATGGGATTAGGCAATTGAGAATATTCCAAGAGTTTCTTCTTGGAAATAATACTTAAGCAAAGTACTTAAGTACTGTGCGACTAATGCCGCTAATAATCATAAATACAAAATCATCTCACCCGAAGCTCTTAAACCAGACAATAGGCAAAATATTTTCTTAAAGATGGTGTTGCCAATATAATCAATTTTGATTCAATTTCAAGGGAACATTATTTTTAAAACGGAGGTACATTTTGCCAACTCACTTTACGACACTCAGGTAGGATTCATCGGTGAGCTGGAAGAAATATCGTTATTTTTAGAAGAGATATTATTCTGAAAGTTGCTCATAAGTGGAGAGAGTTCACGCCGAAAGTACGGTTGAATATCTTTAGAGTGAGACAAAAGATTAACATTCTTCATTCGTTTGTTTTAAAATTAGATGTAAAAATGAAGGTGCCGAATCTTCTTATCCGTCTCAGTCTAAAAGCGCATTCAGGCTCGTACCTATTCAATCATTCATATTCGTTCCTTGAACGCAAATCGACGGCTCAAGTCCGCAATCACACATCTCGTTTGCGGTGTCTGAAAATCTTCGCCTTTATGTTATTTTTTTAAAGGGAGAACAAATTGACATCATTCCTTGAAGTTTATGCAGAATTTTCTGCGCACAGAGAACGCTCGGACAAGAATCGATTGTTTGAGAAATAATATCGGTGCGTTGCCAAATTGCAGGATCCGCCAATGCCAATTGATGTGACCGGCGACCCTTTCCCCGCTAAAAACGACTATGTTGACCGGTGCATGATTAGTATGACCACCAAGTTGGAGCGTGAAACATACGTGGTCTGTCCGGAAAGTATCAGGACTTTTTAGATTTTGAGAGATTGAGCTTACCTATGACATTGTGGCTTTAACCCTAGTCTGCCTGAGCCTCTGAACCAACGAGGAAGCCTGAGCGGGGTCAATTTGACCCCAGCTGAAAATCAATTAGTTAGCTAAGTTTTTTTTATGTTTTTAGTTAATATCAGTGCACTAACCTTACAGGCCTTAACCATAAAACATATCTAAGTTTTAAAAAACACGGCGCAGGGTATGCAACCATTTTATCATACACATGTTGCCATGTTGTTCTCAGCATGAGAAAAAAAATCATAGGGCTACTAAATACTGAAAACGAAAAAAATCTGAAAAATTTTGCTTGTTTTATATGTTTCTGAAAAAAATTAAAAAGAGAAAAATGAATAGACCTTCAAAGTAAGTTTTTGTGATGCTAAATGGTAAAATATATGTTATAAGAATATCTGACCCCGCTCAGGCTTTCTAGGGGCACTCGTGAATTTTTTGATCTCTCATGCACTTTTTTTTTTTTCCCCCTTCAAAATCGTGTTCCTAGATGTTTTTGTAGAGCTATTTGTGAAGGACAAAAAATTTCGTGCATACCACGAGAAATGGCAAAGAGTTGAAACTCCGGTGGGGTCAATCTGACCCCACTCAGGCAGACTAGGGTTAATCTCCTTCGAAGTACTCTCCGTAAGACACAATGCACTTGTTCCAGCGATTTTTGAGCTTTTCAAAACAGTCCAAAAAGCACTCCTTTGGGATATCCTTCAGCGCTCTCGTCGTATTCTCTTTGATGTCATTGATGGAGTCAAATCGAGTCCCTTTCATTGGAGATTTCAGCTTTGGGAACAGCCAGAAGTCGCAAGGAGCTAAGTCTGGACTGTATGGAGGATGTGGAACCAGAGGAATACCGTGCTTTGCCAAAAACTGTTGCACAAGACAGGAGGAATGGGCCGGAGCGTTGTCATGCTGGAGCATCCAGTCACCGCTTGCCCATAATGCAGGGCGCTTGCGTCTGATAGCATCCCGCAAACGCCGTAAAGTTTCCTGGTATGCTTCTTTAGTGATGGTTGTACCCTGGGGAGCATATTCGTGATGCACAATACCTTGGTAGTCGAAAAAAACAGTGAGCATGACCTTGATGTTGCTGCGACTTCGCCGTGCTTTTTTGGGGCGCGGCGTCCCGGGTGCCATCCATTCTGAGGACTGTGCTTTCGTCTCAGGGTCATAGCCGTAGACCCAAAACTCATCCCCGGTTATGATTTTCTTCACAAACTCAGGATCATTCTCAGTAGCTGCCTGTAACTCGTCGGAAATGAAAAGTCGCCGCTCCTTTTGCTCAGCTGCGCTGTCAAAACCTTTGGCACTTTCGCTGCCACTCTACGGAGCCCGAGTTTTTCAGTTAAAATTTCCGCAACGATGGTCTTCGGGATGTTTAGCTGCTCTTCCAGTTCCCGCACGGTTAATCGACTGTCTTGGGCGATAGCTTCCCGAACTTCTTCCACGTTATCGGGAGAATTCGTCGACGAAGGTCTCCCGGACCGCGGATCACTAGCGACTGTTTCACGACCCGATTTAAAACGATTATACCACTCATAAATATTGCTCTTGCTCATAGAATCAGTGCCGAAAGCTTTCCGAATCATTTTCATGATCTCCTTGGCAGTTTTTTCTAGATTAAAGCAAAATTTAATACAAATTCTCTGATCTTCACGCTCGGTCATTTTACGAAAAAAAAAACGCGACGATAGCACTTGACACACACACTTTGATCAGTTGATTGCAATCGACTGATTAAAGGTGTGAAAGCCCGATTGTGTGGCTGCATTGGAGAGGACATGGGCAAAGTCCAACCCAAGTTTCAACTCATTATCTGCATTACATTCCGAGATAATCAAAAAGTCCTGATACTTTCCGGACAGACCACGTAGTACCCTATTGACGCCAGCGTGGGTGCCAACAGTTTACCCACTGCAATACCATGTTGAGATTAGTAGGTAGGTGCGGGGATGTTACCACGATGAAACATACACAGTAACACACCTACTTGTTTCAACATTGTTCCGCGTTGGGAATACCTTATTTGACAGCATATTACATCGACAGTGAAGCTACATCGTCCCTCGCACCATCGCGCCTTCAATTTTGCAGATGCAACAAGGAAATCCATCAAGCACGAATAGTTGTATCTCTGCGCCGTCATTAACGAGCGTCCATTCTTCTGCTCCATTTCTATATTGTTCGTTTCCGTTTGTCTTATTCGTAATGGAGCTTCAAGGGCTAAGTGAGTAACATAGTCGAAAATAAGAGGGACGTAATCGGGCCTCGTTTTAGGAATTTTCTCCCGAATCTGAGCGACACCTCATTTGCAGCATAGAACGGAGCATCGCGAGTTCGTGCCTTGCGCCATCGCGCCTTCAATTTTGCAGATGCAGCACACACATCAATCGAGCACGAATAGTCGTATCTCGGCGCCGTCGTCAACGCGCATCCTTTCCCTTGCTCTATTTTGTCCGTATTGTGTTGGTTTCGTTTGTCTCATTTGTAGTGCATGTTGCTTCAAGAGCCATACGTAAGCAACACAGCCTAATAAGACAGGAAAGACGTATTCCGGCCTAGTTTTTTAACTTTTCTTACGACTCGCACTATCAGCATAGAGCAGAGCATTGAGAGTTTACGCCAGGGGTGCAGAAAATGCTCGATCATGGCGCCTGGGCAAACGCGTGAAAATGTGGCTATACTGAGGCTTAGGCGCCTCTC